AGCCTTCTGTTACAGATAGGGACCTTTACCTTAACCTCTCTTACAAATTGTCCCTGGCTTAGCTGCAAATCAGTCAGAATCAGGACCCAACTAGCCTGCTTTCCTGTCTCTATTATGCATATTTATCTATCGTTGTTGTTCCATTGTTTCAGTCCTGTCAGACTCTTCATTACCTCATTTGGGATTTTCTTAGCAAAAATGCTGGAGAGGTTTGCCATTTCCTACTCCAGCTCATTTTATAGTTGAGGAAACTGAGGCAAACAGGGTTGAGTGACTTGCCCAGGGTCACACAGCAGTGTCTGAGGGCAAATTTGAACTCAGGAAAATGGGTCTTCCTGACTCCAGGCCCAATCCTCTATCCACTGTGCCACCTAGCTTTCTTGTTTCTGTTTAGTCCTTTGCTCTCACAGGGCCTGGAAAGCTGCCCTCATCTTTGTTTGAAGAAAGCCTAATTGCTTTAGGGGTACATTTTAGCCACAGGCCCAGTGGATAGAACCCTGGGCCTAGAGTCAGGAAGGCCTGAGTACAAATCCAGCTTCAGATACTTAACAGCTGTGTGACCCTGGGCAAGTCACTTCACCTGTTTGCCTCAGTTTCCTCATGTGTAAAACAGGGATCATAATAGCACCTATCCACCTCTCAGGGCTGTTGGGAGGATCAAATTAGATAATCGTAAATTGCTTAGGACAGTGCCTGGCACATAGTAAGTGCTATATAAATCTTAGCTATTAATTATTGTTATAAGGATAAGGGACAAAGACAGACAGAATTCAAGGCCAAGTGTCCCTGCTGAAAATCCTGTGTTTTTTCTGCTGTCACCATTCTTTTTCATGTATATAGGGAACAAGAAAAAAATTCCTCATTACCAGCCGGATGAAACTGATGATACATATATCACCTTCCAGCTGCTGTTGTTTTGGGGGAGTGGGGTGAATATGACAGTGGGAAATGTATCAGAATCTTCAAGAGCAGCCAGTACCTTGGGGCACATTTGTGATGGCACACTTGGAAGCTTTTGTTCCTTCTCTATTTGTTGCCCTTGTGAAGGTTATACTGCTCTTTTAAAGTAATTAAAACAATCTATTGAAAAGAACTGTATGTGTACCATTTGTAGGGAAAAAACTTAAATTTGAGAATTCTTGGGCCCTGATTGATGAGCTTTTTTTGGTGTATTAATTGTTGCAGTCCTCAGGCAACATCCTACTTTACTTTCTCTTCAGGTTAATGAGACTGTATTTAAACCCCTTGGGAGAAAAGTTTATTTTAAAACAACTGCTATTGTGGAGAGAGAACCTTTTTGGTACTCAAACGAGTGGAGGATGTCTTCTTTCCCTGCGCAAGTGAAGCAGCTCTGGTCTTGATAGCTCCACTCAGATATTTCTGGTGTTTATAGACTCATCTGGGGTTGAGGCTCAGAACTGGGAAAGGCTGGGAAGCACACTGTTGTGGTTATTTTTCCATAGCCAGCCCTAGGCACAACTTTATACATCCTACACCAATCTGCCATCCCACCAATTAAAAAAAAAACACCCAACAGACTCTCTGGCAACAAGGGAAATTGTCAGTTTCAAAGGGGTAAGATTTCTAGCCCCCAACATGGGATTTTGTATCACCTTGCAGATTCCTTGGTACCTATATGTAGCACTGGCCATATCTCTTTCTGGCTCCCCTAAAGGCTACACACATCCTGAATTCCTATAACCTTATACTCATAGTTCTTGAAATATAGAGGTGTAAGGGAGCTTTTGGGTCATCTAGTCCAATGAAGAACTTTCAGAGAAGGAAATGTCTTGCCAAAGGTCATAGCTGGTTATAGAGAAGCCTAAGCCTGACTCCTCTCTTTAATGCTTGGCCACAATGCCTTGTAGAACAAGTTCCTAAGTCCAGCTGAGAAGGACTTTTGTATCAGTTAAACAGTTCTTTAAAGGTTAGCCAGGCACAAATGCTTAACACCTTAGTGAACCCTATAAGAAACAGAAGTATGATTTTTCTCTCCTCCCTCCTTGCATCCCTTTGAGTTCTCTCCCAAGCTGAAGTGAGAAAATCAATTAAGTGTTATAAATTATATGATCTGAAAAGAATAACCTACCCTTTGAATTTATTTAGTAGTTTACTGTTAGAAAGTGTTTGAAAATATTTCATTTAATTTGATTTATTGTAAAAAGGTAGAGCTGGAAGGAACCTTGGAGATCATACAATCTAACCTTTTTTTTTTTTAAAGAAATGAGGAAATCATATGACCAGGGAAAGTTAAATGACTTGCCCAAGTTTACAGAAGTAGTGAATAGCAGAGCCAGAATTTAAACCAAAGTCTTCCTGATGAAATCTAGAGGCTTAGGGGTGCTGGACCCCTGAGATCATGACACACAGTCCTGCCTAAAAGAATTCAACCCAAGCCTTCTTTCAGCCAAAGACAAGGTTTTTTAAGATCCACCACATTGGCCAGACTTTTAAGGAATCTGAGTACCTGTGAGCTAGATTGTAAAAATCTGAGCAGTGGCTAGATTATAAGAATTTGAGCACCTTAATGGAGACAAGATGGACCTTATATACAGAAAGACTATGGGAGGGATCTAGGAGTGACCAAGTAGTCTATGAGGTAATAGAACTCCAGGGACCTGGACAATGTGGCCAAAGGAGAATAGAGCCTAGATAGGATTAAGGGTGGGAAGTGGCCTGGGGCCATAGGGAGGTAGATTTGAGTGTAGCCACAATGAAAGGCCAGTTGATGGGATTATAGCCTCAGGATAACACCAGAGCTTTGGCTATGTGGGAAAGTCCAGTCCAAAGAGTTCCTTTTTGTGGTCTAGATCCTATCATCATTCCCACTCAAAATCTAGTGCTCTCTCAACTACATGTATCAGTGAACAAATGTGAAGCATGAGAATTTGTTATATTAACAGGTCATTTTCCTTTTATGCATTCATTTCCTTCAAAGCTAGATATTTTATCAGTTTTTTGTTAAGTCATTCTTCAGTCTCTGACTCTTAGTGACCACATTTGAGGTTTTCTTGGTAAAGATACTATAGTGGTTTGCCATTTTCTTTTCCAGCTAATTTTACATATAAGGAAACTGAGGCAAACAGGATTAAATGACTTGCCCAGGGTCAGACAGCTAATAAATGTTTGAGGCTGCATTTGAGCTCCAGTCTTCTTGACTCCAGACCTGGCACACTATTTACTGTAGCACCTCCTACCTGCCCATTTCATCAATTAGGGCAGTGATTGATTTATGAATCAAAGTGATGGGATTATAGCCTCAGGTGAATGCCAGGGACATAATGCATATATATATATTTTTATTAGGAAGTATATAAAATATCAAGGAAGTTGTAGAAGTTCAATGCCCATATAGAATGAATCTTAAAGGTTTTTATTCAGCTATGTCCTAATGAAGAGGTCTAGGACTTTGGGGTGCTGCTGGGGACACCCCAAGATCGCAGTACCAGGCCCTGTCTGAAAGAATTTAACTCAAATCTTCTTCAGCCAAAGGAAAAGTTTGTTAGTGATAAAACACTTAGGCCAGGTAACGCCCTTAAGGACAGGCGGGCATGAGAAAGTCTCAGCCTTTTGAACATGAGATTCTCAGCCCCAGTGAGGGCCAGGGTAGATCTTATATACTAAAGTGACTTTGGGTGACCAGGGGAGGGTCTGGGAAAAGGATGTGGGTGAGAATTCTGATTGGAAGGTCTGAGAGATTGAATAGACAATGGGAATAGATGATGAGATCAAAAAGGTGGGGCTAGGGCTTTCAAAGGGAGATAAGGGGCTGGGGCCTATAGACAAATAGAAATCAGATTCCCTTTGGGGCAAGGTCGAAGACCTCAGCTTGGGCCACACCCCATCACTAACATTTAAAAATATTCCTCTAAATGATTCTCAGTACTGATATTACAATTCCCTAGGTTGTTTTTTTTTTTTACTGAATTCTGAAAACACAAATAATGATAATTCACTTTAAAATATAATCAGGTTGAGCTGGTCAGGAAAGGACTATTATGGGATTAAGCAATGATATTTCTAAAAATATGGAGATTACTGTTTTAAACTCTCCCTAGCCTATTTCACTGCCCAATAATTAGTTAATAAGCATATATTAAACACCTACTCTATATTGAACATATAAAAGAATTAGAGGGACTTGTTTGAAATAGTATCTCAGGTTTCCATGAGAGCCCTAAATGTCATACAGTTTGTCCATTTAACCTACTTTTCTTATGGATATTGTATGAAGGAATTAAACCTACTGTAGGATAGACTGCAGGAGAAGGAGAAGCTTCCTGAAGTTAAAATTCAATAGGTAATTAATGAATATTGAATTAGAACTGTGTGATTTTTGTTACCAGGCTTATTTTCAATGTAGCCATACTTTTGTGGCAATTATGTGGACATAACCATTGCATATGTAATAATAATAGCTAGCACTATGCAGCACTTTAAGGTTTGCATAGCAGTTTTATAAATATTATTTTGATTTAATCCTCACAACAGTTTTGAGAGGTAGGTGCTATTATTGTGCCCATTTTTACAGATGAGGAAACTGAGGCAAACATTAAGTGAACTTGCCCAGGGTCACATAGCTTGTAATCTCAGGCGGGATTTGAACTGTCATTAGCTATCAGAATTCACAGATTGAGATATGTTACTTGAAGTAAAGACAAGTTTGTCCCTGTGAAAGGTCATATGACCTTTTATATATTTAAATGTCTTACTACCTATTTCTCCTCTCTACCTGTTTCTACTTTTTTTTTAACCTGTTTCTCCTCTAGAAAATTATGTAAGGAAGACCGTTATAGGAGTGAATATTGTCTTCTTTTTGAAGCGAAAAACTTTTCCCTCAGACTATAAGTCTAAAATAAAAGAGTGTAAGTGAAAAATCACGATTTAATGTACAAAGTTTTACTTTATATCCTAAAAAGTTGCATGTGTTGTATACATCAAAGTCTTTCTCTAATTAGATGGTTGTTTCTATCTGTGATGATTGTAACTTTTATCCATAGGTTTAAAGACATACCTGATATCAGGTCAGAGAGTCCTGAAAGAAGCCCATTGCAGCTGTTCAGAGGCATTGCTTTCTGGCTTTGAGGCAGGGGATTGCTCAAGCTTGTCTTCAGGCCCTAAATTACAGGGAACATCACCACCTGAGAGTGTCAGCGACTTGGCGAAGACTTTTAAAACCTTTGATAAAAATAAGGTTAGTTTTTCATATATTGTTTAAAAAACATTATTTTAATTCTAGAATAAAATTTGCAGAATGATAAATGTTATAGGGGAAGTGATCATTTTTATTTTCAGCACCCTGGTTTTCTTCTGACACAGCCTTCTTGATTTTGTTCTTTTTTTGTATAAAGACATTGATCACCCTTGTTCTAGTTTTCTTTGGCTTCTGCAATTGCATGTCTGTATAGATTCATGGTAGTGGATAATAGGTAATTCTACCTGCAAATAGTTTGGAGAAAATTTTCTATATGTTATTTCAAAGTGACACTTTCCCACATTACCCACCTATAACTTCCCAGAAACGAAATTGTACTTGATTATTATTTTTTTCACTAAGGGATATCTGGTATTGACTTACTGTAACAATATATGTCTCAGTATAATTCGTGGCCAAGGGCCTTGACCACCCCATCCCCCTCTCCCCTAAGCTCTGGACTTTGTGAATCTGGGGGCTGAGCCAAGGGAGCTCTTTGGCTCATTACTCAGAGTAAACTCTGGGAAATCTGCACAGATAGCTTGTGTCTGAGTCAGTCAGCTGCCATTTATGAAGCACTTACTATATGCCCAGCCCCATGCCGATCTCTGAGGATACAAAGAAAGGCAAAAACGAGCCCTGCTCTCAAGTTGCTTACAGTCTAACGGGGGGGGGGGGGGGGGGAAGACCACATGCAAAAAAACTATGTACAAACAAGCTACATGCAGGATAAACTAGAGATAATCCACGGAGGGAAGGCATTAGCATTAAGGAGAATTAGAAAAGGCCTCTTGCAGAAGGTAGGACCTTAGCTGAGACTTGAAGCAAGCCAAGAGGCTGAGATAAGGAAGGAAGGAGTTTCAGGCAAGGGGGACAGTCAGGGAAAAGGCACAGTCGGGAAATGCGGTGTTGCATGTAAGAAACAGTAAGGAGGACAGTGTCCCGGTATTACAGCGTACATGGGGGACAAGAGGGGAGAATTGGTGTGGTGTGGGAAGGCTGGAAAGTTAGGAAAGGGCTGTGCCTTGAGGACTTTATAAGCCAAACAGAGAATTTTAGATTTGGTCTTGGAGTAATAAGGAGGTATTAGAAGTGACTGCATTGGGGAAGGGGTGACGTGGTCAGATTTGTGCTTTAGGAATATCGGTCTGATAGTTAAGTGAAGAAAGGACTAGGGTGGGGAGAGAGTTGAAACCTAGGAGCAAGCTCTTACAGCAGTTCAGGTGAGGTGACAGCCTATACCAAGGTGGTGGCAGTGTCAGAAGGAAGGAGGGGGTGTGTAAGAAAGATGTCATGGAGATCAAAATGACGGTACTTGGCAACTGATTACATTTACAGGGTAAAAGAGTTAGTAGTTGAACATGACATCCAGGTTGCAAGTGTGTAACAGAGGCTTAGATTCCTATATAAACTCTCAAAGTAACAAATGTATGTTGGGTAAAACAGGGCTTCTTAAACTTTTTCCATTCGCTACCCCTTCAGTGCTTCTTAAATTGTGGGTCGTGACTCCATATGGATTTAGGAAGCACTGGGGAAAGAAAAGCCTTAATTTCACCCCACAGGAAATTCAGAAGATCCAAAGGTCTCATAAGAGCCCATAGATAGGTACAAAAACAGATATAAAGTATCCACAGTCACCCATAAGCTTCCCTTGAAAGGGAACTGGACTTGGGGTTGCCAGCGAGGTGATAGTCTGACATTCCATTAAAAGCTTTCTTCTCCAAAGGATCCTGTACACTTCCTTCCATACTTGTAGTGCCTCCTTAGGGTTAAGAATTCCCTGAGTGGCAGCTAGGTGGCACAGTGGTAGAGCTCTAGCCTTGGAGTCAGGAGAACCTGAGTTCAAATCCAGCCTCAGACACTTGACACTTACTAGCTGTGTGATCCTGGGCAAGTCACTTAACCCCAATTGCCTCACCAAAAAGCAAAAGAAAAAGAGAGAGAGAGAGAGAGAGAGAGAGAGAGAGAGAGAGAGAGAGAGAGAGAGAGAGAGAGAGAGAGAGAGAGAGAGAGAGAGACACTTCTCTGAAAGGAAAATGCATTTGGAGGCCACTGTACAGACAACCTCCTTCCCATCAGATCTGTGCTGTCTGAATAACTAACAGTAATAATGGGAGTCAAGTACTTGTCTTTTTGCTCCTCCATGTCATGACTTCTCCAAAATAAGAATCATGCACAAAAGATAAAGTAATTTAGGTATCTCTATGGTCTAGGACACCAAGAACCCAAACAAAATAACAATTCAGTTAATTAAGAGCAAAAAACCCCTACTCACTCAACCCTCACACCCCCACTCAGCATCCTCTGCCCACCACAGTCTGACAGTAGGGCTGTGCGAGCCATCCGACTTCCACAGAACGCAATCCCATGTGCCTCCTCCCTCCCAGAACTGTGGAAACTCAAAGACAGAAGCTTGCTTCCGCTGGGACAACAGTGGGACACACAAGAGATCTCAGGCAGAGAACTGAGGAGCAGAGGACCTGCGGGAGCCGGGTGGGCTGTGTAGCCCTCCACAAAGCCTGAGAAAAAGAGCTCAGCCCCCAGCGGAGGCCAGTTCTGTCCCCCAGAAGTCATTTGGGTCAGAGACCAAGGCTGGTGAGCCTCGAATTGCCCGTCATGAGAGGAAGCTTAGATGGCTTTAAAGTACAGCCCAAAGAAACAGCACTAAGAGGGGATGGGGTTACAAAATGAGCATTGGAGGAATATAAGGGAAAAATCCTGAAGTTACCAAGGATATCAGGAGAAAGAAAACTCAGCTAAAGACCGTGATCATAAGCAAGTAAACCAACAGGAAAGGTATTAATAACAGAAGGGAAATGCAGCCTCCAGATCAGGTATGTCTATGAATAAATATTGTAAGATAAAGTAAAATGTATCAACACCTGATGATGCAGAAAACCCTGTTGATTCTCAAGAGAGTATGAAACCCCACAGCAAGATATTCCTCAATGTTTTAAAAGAAATGTATCATGAAGGCAGAATTTATGGCCTACACAGCAGAAATAATTGGCAAAATAGAAATTATTGAAACTACAGTGTCGAGTCTCATCAAAGAAACAAAAGAGAGAATAACTGATTGAGTATGCAAATATATGGAAGCAAAGGACAGTCTAGGAAAAAAAACCCAATATTGTGAAAAGAAAACATGATCTCCTTACGAGAAAAACTTATTGATCTCAAAAACAGGATGTGTAATGTAACTCAGGGATTATAGATCTCCCAGAAAAACATTAAGTCAGAAAAACCCTGAACATCATAATGCACAAAATTATATAAGAAAACTGCCTTGAACTTCTGAACATAGAAAACAAAGTGCCAGTTGAAAGAATCAATAGATTATCCCTAGAAAATACGGTATGTTGTAAACTCCAAAACACATAGTTGTTAAAATAAACAATTCCACTAACAAAAATTCTGCAAGCCACCAGTAGAAAAAACTTCAAATATGGAACGCTAATACATTGTTGGTGGAGTTGTGAAATAATCCAACCATTTTGGAGAACAATTTGGAACTATGCCCAAAGGGCTACAATAGCACTTCTAGGGCTATATCCCAAAGAGATCAAACAAATGGGAAAAGGACCCACATGTACAAAAATATTCATAGCAGCTCTTTTTGTGGTGGCAAAGAATTGGAAATTGAGAGGATGCCCATCAATTGGGGAATGGCTGAGCAAGTTGTAGTATATGAATGTAATGGAATACTATTGTTCTGTAAGAAATGATGAACAGGCTGACTTCAGAAAAACCTGGAAAGACTTATATGGTCTGATGCTGAGTGAAGTGAGCAGAACCCAGAGGACTTTGTATACAATAGCAGCCACGTTATGCAATGACTAAGAATGTTAAACTGAACCCTTCTCAGCATTACGAGGATCTAAGACATTTCCAGAGGCCTCGGGATGGAAAATGCTGTCCACATCCAAAGAAAGAACTATGGAAGTCGAATCGCTCTCACTTAATTTTTACCTTAAGTTGAATTTTGTTTCATCTTTCTGATGGTTCCTCCTATTGGTTTTAATTTTTACTTACAACTTCACTAATGTGAAAATATGTTTAATGGGTATGTAAATGTAAAGCCTATGTCAGATTGTGCGCCATCTTGGGGAGGGTGGGGGGGGAGAAAAAGGGAGAAAAAATTTTCAACTCAAAAGCATATGGAAAAAAAAATTTTTTAAAATTAAAAAAAAATAAAATAAAATAAAAAATAAAAAAAAAATAAAAGGAAAAGTTAGAAACCAAAAAAAAAAAAAAAAACTTCAAATATAAAAGAAAGGAAATTCAAATAACAAAAGGCTATTCTGCACCCACCAGAAACCACAGGAGGGGATAAAACAATGTAGAGTGAAAAAAGAGCAAAAAAGCTTCAAAATGCAATATGTGACTTACACTGCAAATCTGAGCCTAATCATTAATGGAAAAAAAAATGGACGATCAATGGAGTACCCAGTTTTTCAGAAATATCTACATATATATATGTACCGTATACACACATATACATATACATGTGTATATGTATGTATTTATGTATATGTTTCAGGAGGAAATTTTTGTTATAAAAGGAATTTGCTTCATCTTTATTATCACTAAGAAAAGTGGTAATTTCTTAATTTAGCGCATACACACTTAGAAATACTTTGATATAAGCAAGTCAGTGTGTTTTGCAGTAACATAAAAGTACCCTATACTGTCCACTTATCATCACACAATTAATTTTGCAAAGAAACTCCCTTTTAATGAACTTTTTAATAAGGTTGATTACCCTCGTAACAATTTGAAAAACTGTATGTAGTTCATTGTGTTTGTCTAGGAAGCATTTCTAGAAAGCAAAGTGTTTAAATTGCGTGAGAGGCCACTTTTTTTTTTTGGCTAGGCAGTGGGGTCAAGTGACTTGCCCAGGGTCACACAGCTAGTAAGTGTTATGTGTCTGAGGCCAGATTTGAACTCAATTCCTCCTGAATCCAGGGCTGGTGCTCTATCCACTTCACCACCTAGCTGCC